AGGGCGGCCACCTGCCAGCGAGCCCCTCTGAAGAGGGCGAAGGTGAGCCTCCTCTGACAGCTTGTTCACCAAAGGCATGGTCCTCCATGTGAGCGGCTGGCCCTGTAGGAGACCGGGACCCCAGGCCTCGGCGACCCTGGGCCCCATGATACTTCGGCCACCCCAGGAAGTCCGAGGCAACACACAGCGGGGGCCAGAGCTGCTTGGGCCCTTACCCAGCAAGCCTCTGCAGGACAGCCACAGCCCGATGCCCAGAGCTGCCCCGGGGTGCCCTGGGGTTCATACCTGCCAGGGAAAGGCCAAGGTCAAAGTGCCTCTCTGCGCAGGACGACACCCCTGCCCAACATGGCAGAGGAGGGGCCTGAGGCTGGCGTGGGTGTTAGAGCTACCCCTCCCTCCCTTCTCCACCCTGGCTGGGGCCCCTGGAACCCTGGCGACGTGGACAGCAGGGCTGGGGCACTGGGGCACACAAGCTTCAGCTGCCATCTCTGTTCTGGAAACAGCTGAACAGGGCCCCAGGCCAGGCTGTGATGGCACTGGGGCCGTGGGACCATGCCGGCGTCTCCACCCGTGGTGCCCGCGGAGTGGCGAGTCAGAGTGAGGTCGTGCACACCCACCCTGCCCCCAAGTGGAGGCTGGAGACCATGTTCTGAGCCGCTGGAGATGCCGGGCCCACAGCCAGTCTGACCACAGCAGGCACCCACGTAACCCAACCCCAGACCACAACTGGGCTGGTACATAGAGCAAAGGCCAGCCATAAACCATGGGGCTAGGGGGAGGCCCGAGAGAGCCCCGGCAGCATGTGGGGGTGGCCGGCTTCCAGGACCCCAGGACCCAGCTCGGGCCGGCTGAGCCGCTGGCTGCTCCGGGCACAGTCTGGCTCCGATCCCTCCTGACCCAGAGCGGCAGCCCGTCTCCCCGGTGGGGTGGCGTATGATGCCTAGGACACTGCAGAGGGGCTGCCCACCGCACCACCCTGCCTCTCTCCGGCCTCGGGCCTCACCAGACACAGCCTGCACGCCCTCCATGCCCCAGCTCCCCGCCCCCATCAGAGGATGCTGGCTCAGAGGCCAGCATCCCTTGGCGCTTCCTGCCTCTTCTCTGTCCTGCCTCATCCCATTCCTGGTGCTCCCGACTGCCCTCCCAGGCTGTGACGCCCCTGCAGCCCCCAGAGATTTGGAGACTGGGCATTGGGAGCAAAGTAACTGTCCACATTGGAGGGAAGAGTGTCCTTGCTCGCTTTCGCGTTGTGTTGGTGCCTCCACCCTTGCCGGCAGTCATAGTGTCCGCAGGAGAGGAGGGGTGGGCCGCCTGCTCCCGGCTCTGAGCCCCATGCCGGCTCCGAGCTGCCCCGTCAGGACGGCGCTCAGCGCCACGCGGGACCAGCTCCCAATTAAAACTCTCAGAAGCGGGAGGCATTTTCATCCTTTCATGTTTACGAATTATCTGAGAGTCAGGCAGCACGCAAAGTCCCCTGGTGAGACAGAGGAGCTGGTTACTCATATCAAAGCCCAGCTTTCCGTGACGCCGGGGCTCGATCTCTGTAATTGCAGGCTGGGCCAGCAGGCCGGCCCCTCTGCTTCCCTGCGGCGCAGTGAACAGCCAAGACACCAGCTGCTCCGTGAGCGCCAGAACCACCTGACCGCGGTCCAGGATGCGTTTGCAAGCAGAAACCCCTCCAGGCACCCAATACCAAGGAAAGTGGCATCCGGGGAGCAGTCCAAGCAGCCACGGGCCCCGAGTCTCCGGTCCCAGCACCGCACGGCAGGGCTGGGGGCAGGGCCAGCGGCCAGTGCCGTGGAGAAATTTTCCCTGTTACAAGGTGGCCTGTGGGGGCCAGCAGGTGGCATGGTAGTTAGGGCACTGGACTCCCACATGGTGAACCGTGGTTTGAACCCCAATCTGGCAGCTTGAAAATCACGTGGGGCGTGTACACAGAATCCCGAGGGGAGATGGTTTCTGTTTCCCTCTGTGTCTGTCAGTGTTTCTCTGGTGAGCACACGCTCCCTATGACCAAAAAAAACCAAAAAAGATCAGGAGAAAAGTGTGGCCTGGACAGAGCTGGCCGGTCTCCGCATTTCGGAAGAACACGAGGCACGGTCCCCGCCCAGCAAGGCCTGGCAGTGCCCTCGGCCACTCTCACAGGGCCTGTTCTCAGAGGAAACGTGAGCTGGACACCCCCACGTGCCTGCAGGTTCTCTTCAGAGGGCCTCGCAGGACAGCCCCCCTCGGGGCTCTGGGCAACTGCCCTGAAGTCGGGCCACAGCTCGAGTGCAGACGGCACCCTCAGTGCGTCTAGGGTGAGGGGCTGAGCCGGGGGCCTGTAGCAGTCCAGCTGTCCACCCTACTGAGGGCACCCAGCTCCCCCGGGAACCCTGGTCTGCCCTTGGGTCTGTTCCTGGGCCCTCCCTCGGAACACGAGGCTCTTCCCACAGGGAACCATTTGGGAGGCTCTGACATACCCAGCTTCATTGCCTTTGAAGTCGGTCTTTACAGAGCTCACGGACCAGGCCAGCAGGTGGTGTGGTGGTTAAGGCCCTACATCCCACCTGGCCGACAATGTGGTTCGAGTCCTGCAGCTAGTGGCTTAAAAATCATGCTGGGTGTGTGTGTGTGTGTGCCCAAATTCCCAAGAGAATGAAAGAGCAGGGATTGCGGTGTGGCCTCTGCCGGGGTGACTCACTTTTCCGCTCTCTTTCTGCGTCTTTCTGGCAAGTATGCTTACCAATAGTTTTTAAAGTTTGTATACAACATGAGAGCCGTTCACCCACCCCGGGATCGTAGTTTTAGCCCGAGGAATCTGCGTCTGCGTCTCAGCGGGTCACCGCCTTCCCGAGGCTGCTGGGTCAGCAGAAGCCACCTGGTTCCAGGAGATCATGTCTTTGTGGGTCTAACCCACGTGCCTCATCCAGGCACTGCCAGGATCCCACGGTGATGAGAGTCCTGTCCTCCGAAGGCTCTCAGGGAGGCCACCCCATTGCCTGGAACTGCACAGAGATGGGTAGGGCCCAGAGGTTGCTGCCCAGACCTGCCCTCGCTGGCTTCTTGGCGCACACTGCGTCCTCCGGCTGGTGAGTCACTGGCCGCTTATTCAGCACCGGCAGCCAGCGGGAGGGGCCAGAACGGTGTGCCTGCAAGGACCCGGGCTTGTTCTCCAGCCCCTGTGCTGGAAAGTAAGTGGGAGGAGGAGAGGCCCTGGCCAGCAAAGGCTGGACCAAAGGGCTGGCATTGCTTTCTGGGGAAGGCTGGCAGACAGGCAATGAGCCCTTTCATCTGTGTGCCCCCGCCCTGCTACCCCATCACATGCACGTGCACACACGCACGCATGCTCACTGGCTAACCCCAAGCACCATCTCCGGGGCATAGCAGCTGCAGGCCACCAAGGAGACCTTGCGCACTCATCCCCCTCCTTCCCTGGAGGTTCAATACCTTCCCTACAAAGGAAGCATTGCCTGCTTCGGGAGCCTCCTGCTTTCCGGGCCTTCCAGATCCTGGGTGTGCAAGGAGGGCCAGAGCACAGCTCTACCATGCAGTCACCTGGCCTGGCTTCACCCCTGCCCTGGCTTCACCCCTGCCCCTCATCATGCACCTGCTCTGGCCTCCGTGTCCTCCCACACCCTTGGGCTCCTGGGAGGGGCCCTGGAGCATGAGGGCTGACCCAGCAGACAATCCTCATCCCTGTAAGCAGCAGCCCCACCCTTGCAGAGGCACTGGGAGCTTCTCCAAACCACTTTGGGGTCACTTGTGGCTTTCACTAGAAACTGCTTTGAGTTAGGTTCTTCTTGGCCAAGGAACCTTTGGCCTGGCTCAAACCTCCGTCCCCTGCCCTTTGGAGTGGCTCCTGTCTGGTGACCTGCAGACCTCTGCGGCTCTTATCCCTGCCCCGCAGGCAGAGACACCGAGGCCCAGACAGGCCGTCCGAGTCAGCACAGCTTGTGGGAGACTCGAACCAAGGGCCTCTCCCGACGCCAGCCTCGGACTCTTGCTGAAGGGCCAGGTTTGGAAAAATGAGTGCGATGTCACACGACTGTCTCCCATATGGCCTGTCCCCAGGACTACTGGAGAGCCCCTCCCGGGTCAGTTTCCTCCCGAGTTAGGCCCCGGGAGAGACGCGGCCACAGCACGCAGTGCCGCCCTAGCTCTGCGCAAAGGAACGACAACTTCTTCATTGATCTCTTCCTTCCCGCTGAGGGCTGGAAAACAGGGCCACCCGGAGCGAAGCTGGAGCTGCGCGGTCCTCGTGGCCTTTCTGCTTATTGAGTTCCTTGAGGACTCCCCTCCCTGCCCTCCACAGCTCCTCTGCCTCAAGGAGGTCAGCGTGTGGCCAGAGCTCCCGAAGAGCCCTCCTCCCCCAGGGAGCTTCGCAGGGCTGGCCCTCCACCGTCCAGAGGCACCCTCCACACCCGCCCCAGCACAGGCCCCTGCCAGCCCGGGCCCGCCTCCTTCTCCAGCCAGCCGTACCTGCCTCCTCGGCCAGCAGGACGGCACTCATCTGCTTGTCTCGCTCCTGCTGGCGGCGGCAGGCCATAACGGAGACGAAAACCGGGCTTGGTCCAACAGGACTGCAGGGC